ATGTACAAGATGTCTTTCCGTTTATTTAAGTCTTCTTTAATTTCCTTCAGCAATGTTTGTTAGTTTTCAGCATACTGATCTTCTGTTGTATTTATTCCTAGGTATTCTATGTAGTTTTTTCTTTTTGATGCTATTGTAAATGGAAATTGTTTTCTTAATTTCATGTTTTTGATGTTCATTGTTAGTGTGTAGAAATACAACTGAATTTTGCGTATTGATCTTGTATCTTGCAGCTTGGCTGAATTTGTTTCTTAGTTCTAACAGTTTGTGTGTGTGTGTGTGTGTGTGTGTATTCCTTAGAATGTTCTCTATACAAGATCGTACCATCTACAAATAGGGATAGTTTTATGTCTTCCTTTACAATCTGAATGACGTTTACTTATTTTCCTTGTCTACTGTTCCTGGCTCAAACCTCCAAAACAATGTTGAATAGAAATGATAAGAGCAGATATCCTCATCTTGTTGAAGGCTTTCAGCCTTTCACCATTAAGTATGATGTTAGCTGTGGGGTTTTTATAGATGCCCTTTATCAGGCTAAGGAAATTTTCTATTCCTAGTTTGTTAAGGTGTTGGATTTTGTCAAATGACTGTTTTGCCTCAATTGAGATGATCGTGCCATTTTGTCCTTTATTCTATTAACGTGGTGTATTGCATTGATTGAATTTCATATGTCAAACCAACCTTACATTCCTGGGAATAAATAAATCCCCCTTGGTCGTGGTATATAATCCTTTTTATGTGTTGCTGGATTCAGTTTGCCAGAATTTTGTTAAGGATTTTTGCATTCGTATTCATAAGGGATATTGGCCTGTAGTGTTGTTTTCTCTTGATGTCTGGGTTTGGTATCAGGGTATTACTGGCTTCATAGAGCAAATTGGGAAATGTTCCTTCCTTCTTTATCTTTTGGAAGAGTTTTATGAAGGACTCGTGCTAATTCTTCTTTAAACATTCAGTGGAAATACCCATGAAACCATCTGGTCCTGGCTTCACTTTAAAGGAAGCTTTTCCAATTACTGTTTCAGTCTCTTGTTATATGTCTATTCAGATTTTCTATTTCTTTTTGAATCACTTTTGGTAGTTTCTGTCTTTGTGGGATTTTTCTGTTTCACGTAGGTTATCTAATTTGTTGGCTCACTGTTGTTCATAGTATTCCTTAATAATTCTTTTCATTTCTGTAAGGTCCTTAGTGGAGTCCCTCTTTCGTTCCTGATGTTAGTAATCTGAGTCTTCTCACTTTTTTTCTTGGTCAGTTTGGCTAAAGGTTTGTCAATTTTGTTGATCTTTTTAAGAACCAACTTTTAGTTTACTTGATTCTGGGTTTTGTTTTGTTTTTCTATGTTACTTACTTCTACTTCAATCTTGGTTATTTTCTTTCTACTTTTTTTGAACTTAATTGGCTCTTTTTATTTCTTAGGGTAGAAAGTTAGGTCACTGATTTAAGTTCTTTCCTCCTTTTTAATATAGGAATTTACAGCTGTAAATTTCTCTCTATGCACTGCTTTCACTGCATTCCATAAATTTTGGTATGTTATGTTTTCATTTTCTTTCATCTGAAAGTATTTTCTCATTTCCCTTGTGATTTCTTCTCTGACCCATTGGTTGTTTAGGAATGTGCTATTTAATATCTACATATTTGTAAATCTTCCAGTTTTCCTTCTGTTACTGCTCTCTAATTTCTTTCCAATGTGGAATGGTTGTAGAATATACTTTGCATGATTGAATTCCGTTTAAATTTATTGGTGCTTGTTTTATGACCTAACATATTGCCTATCCTGTAGAATGTTCTATGTGAACTTGAAAAGAAGGTATATTCTTCTTGAATGTATATACTAATGTTTTTCATCAGATTCGGAAAGTTTTTGAGCGTGAGTTCTTCAAGTATTCTTCCTGCCCCTTTTTCTCTCTCCTCTCTTTCTGATACTCCCGTTATGCATATGTTGGCATGTTGGGTGGTGTGCCACAGGTCTTTGAGGCACGGTTCGTTTTTATTTACTCTTTTTCTGTTCCTGACACTAGATAATCTCAGTTCACTTATCTCCAAGGTCACTTCTTCCTTTTCAGATTTGCTATTGAGCCCCTCTAGTAAAATTTTCATTTTAGTTATTGCACTTCTCAATTCCAGAATTTCTGTCAGCTCTTTTTTTATAAGTTTTACTTCTTTATTGATACTCTGATGAGAAATCATTCTCATGCTTCCCTTTTGTTTTTGAGACCTTTTTAAAACTTCTTTGTGCATATTTAAAAATAGATGATTTAGGGGCTTCCCTGGTGGCGCAGTGGTTGAGAGTCCACCTGCCAATGCAGGGGACACGGGTTCGTGCCCCGGTCCGGGAAGATCCCACATGCCGCGGAGCGGCTGGGCCCATGAGCCATGGCCGCTGAGCCTGCGCGTCCGGAGCCTGTGCTCCACAGTGGGAGAGGCCACAAGAGTGAGAGGCCCGCGTACCACAAAAAAAGAAAAAGCTGATTTAAAGCCTTTGTCCAGTAAATCCAATATCTGGAATTCCTCAGAGATGGTTTCTATTAACTGCTTTTTTTCCATGTATAAGCCTTACTTTCTTGTTTCCGTGCATGTCTTGTAATTTTTGTGGTTGAAACTGGACATTTAAAATAATATGTTTATTAATCTTTTCCTCTCTTTATGAATTGTTAAATAAAAATACCAATGAAAAACTTAAAAATAAATAAATAAAATAATATAATGTGGAATAAGAAGAAGAAGAAGGAATCACATCCTTCCCCTTTCCCAGGACTATTTGTTGTTGCTTTATGGTTGTTGTTGTTTGTTTGGTGACTTTTCTAATTCTGTAAAATCTATATTCTTTGTTGCCTGACCACTGAAATATCCGTGAGGTTAGCCTAAGGTCATCTAATGATTGCACAGAGATTTCTTTAGATGCCTGGGTGAAGCGAGTGTCCCAGTCTTTGCCGATGGGCTCTGTGTGCGTTTGGGGGCGCGCCGTTAACACCCAGGCAGGCAGTTTACAACTCCACCTTGGCCTTTACTTCTTGTTTTCTCCGAGTCTCAGTTTTAGGCAGAAGTGAAAGCTTAGGACGTTCTCAAGTCTTTCCTGAGCCTGAAAATAACCCTGGGAACAGCCCTACGCGTGCTCATGGACTTTCAGCTTCCCAGAACTATGTGGGAGCTTTTCCAAGCCGTCTATGGATATCTCACTACCAGCTTTTCCTCTTAAGCTTTTTCATTAACCTATTGTTTGTCCAACTGTTATCCAGCACCTCAGGCTGCACAGTTTTCCACAAGTGCCCCTGACTGTTTTCAACAATGCCCTCAAGGAAAAGGCTTTTCATACTGGGTGAGCTCGGATTCAGGTAACACAAAGACAGCCTTGAAAGTGGGGTCTTCCGGGAAACCAGCAGACAGGTCAGATAATGCCAGTCCTCTGGGAATGGACTTGGAAGGCGCTCTAATCCTGTCCTACCCTTTCTGGTGGATGCCAGGCTACTGGTTTTTCAAGGCTACTCCAAAGCTGATGAAAGGGAATGAAAACAGGGCAAGTTAAAATTCTATATAAAGTTCACTGTTCTTACTAATACCCAGCCAATTTTCTTAAATAAACACTCCCTGGATTGCTACAAGGCTTTGGTTAATGTCCAGAGCTCTAAAACAAGTTGAGGGGCTTTCCTGGTGGCTCAGTGGTTAAGAATCCGCCTGCCAATGCAGGGGACACGGGTTCGAGCCCTGGGCCGGGAAGATCCCACATGCCACGGAGCAACTAAGCCCGTGCGCCGCAACTACTGAGCCCGCGCTCTAGAGCCCGTGAGCCACGACTACTGAAGCCCGCGTGCCACAACTACTGAAGCCCGTGGCGCCACAACTACTGAGCTTGCGCTCTAGAGCCCGCGAGCCACAACTACTGAGCCCACGTGCCACAACTACTGAAGCCCGCGCGCCTAGAGCCCGTGCTCTGCAACAAGAGAAGCCACCGCAATGAGAAGCCCGTGCACCGCAACGAAGAGTAGCCCCCGCTCACCGCAACTAGAGGAAGCCCATGCGTAGCAACAAAGACCCAACACAGCCAAGAATAAATAAATACATTTTAAAATAAATAAAATAAAACAAGTTGACTCTGACCATTTTTGCTAGTGTTCTCATTGCTTTTATGGAGGAGAGAATTTTCAGAGGTCCTTCCTCCACCATTTCATTGGCATCACCCACAAGCCTATTTTGAGCTTGCATGTGCTCCAAATACCCAGTGGCTTATTAAGGACACTGTGCTTGCACTCAGTGGCTTTTGAGGCCACTTCTCCTCTGTTAATTGTTTGCAGATTCCCTTGGTAGGGGCCAGCGAGGTCATGCCTGCCAGCAGGACACCACATTTTAGTCTTGCATCTGCCACTGGCTATGTGACCTTGGAGCAAAGGAGCTGAGAGTTCCAGAGCACCTGCTGTGCCAGGCTCTTTGCGCTGGCTGTTTTACGTGTATTGTATCATGTCATTTTTGCAAGAACCAAGAAAGAGATAATGTTCCCATTTAACAGGTGAAGAAACTACTAAGATGCAAAATGCTTAGCACTATGCCTGCTACACATAGCAAATATTCCCTGCATCAACTATTGTGCTGTTGTTACTTACAGCTGTTCTTGTCAGAGGAGGAAGTGGAGTTGAGAGGATTGCTCAGGGTCATTTGAATTCCAGCCCAGGTCTGACTCCAAAGCCTAGCCGTGTATTCTACATCCCCATTCCAGCTGCCCTGTGCAAATCTGTTTCAGCTCTGGGTCTCACTTTCCTCATCCTGTCAAGTAAAGGATTTGGACTGACAGAGGTTATTCAGTCAACAAACACTTAACTGTCTTGCTAAGATCGCTTCCAGGTTGACAGTATGAAGGTGTGTGATTCTGTGAAGTCCGTTGCTAGGAGTCACATTCGTAGCATTCTCTTGTTTGGCTTGAAAAAATAAACCGACGGGTAGACTGGCAGGTGTGTAACCCAGTGTGTGTTTCTCTTCTCCTCCCTTCTGGCTCCGCCCCATCCCTCTGCAGAGGCAAGAGGGGACAAAGCCAAGTGGGTGTTGACCTGGCCACTCATCTTCCTTCTGTGCGTCACCATCCCCAACTGTAGCAAGCCCCGCTGGGAGAAGTTCTTCATGCTCACCTTCGCCCTTGCCACGCTGTGGATCGCTGTCTTCTCCTACCTGATGGTGTGGCTGGTGAGTGGCAGAAGTGGGGGTGGACCGTACGGACAGCTCCTGCCTGGCGCCTGCCGGCGGTGCGAGAGCTGGTGTCAAGAGCACGCTCGACGCTGCTGTGCCACCTTCGGCAAGTCGCCTACCTTAACAGACCTTGGCTTATTTCTCAGTAGGAAGGGGTTTCAGCAGAAGTGCGCGGTACTGTGCTGTGCATCAGGGATACCCAGATGGACGCGGCATGGTCCGTGGTGGCCATAGGAGGCAGATGAACCTTCACACGAACAGCCTGGGACACGCCGCTCTGGTGTGATGGGAAGAGGGGTGGTGGGGAGTCTCTGTAAGAAGCCCTGGAGGGCTAATCCCTAGGCTCCCTTCCTTTTCAGTATCCATAGGGGAATGTGATGGAGACTGGAGTCAATGGGAGACAAACACAAGGCAGCCCTTTCCATGCCGCCTGCCGGGGGATGCTCCTGTCCCCTTTCTATGTCCAGGCACAGATATAAACCTTAGGTAGACTCTTCTAGTCCTCATAACAACCCGATGGGGTAAGCAGTTTTATTATGCCAGTTTTACAGATGAGCAAACTCAGGCCTAGAGACTCAGTCATTTGCCCAGTTAGTTACACAATTAGCAACTATTGCACAATTAGTCACACAGCTAGTAAGTTCTAGAGTTGGGGTTAGAACCTGGGTATTGGTCTCCAGAGTCCAGTCTCAACCACTCTCCTGAACGGCCTCTCAGGTTGTTACTGGAATCTTCAGGTGCCGTTTGGACTCAAGATTTTCAGGCAGAGAGGCTTTGGCGTAGCTGGTCTGGCCACACCTGACAGCTCCTTGGAAAAACCTTTCGCTGGCTGGGCAGGGCCAAGCAGGAGCCCCTTCCACCTCGCTCTGCATCACCCTGTGGGCCCCTCCTCTTCCCCTCCCCTCCCCTCATGGGGGGCGGGGGCGGGGAGCCCGGGAACAAGGAGAGAAATAGGTACAGGACCTCTGCCTTTCTATTGGGAAGCGCACCTGTCAGCCACTCACGCCTCAGTGGCATGCATGTAGCCACTTCACTCTCGTCCTAACACCTGATGTCCCCACACACCTAACACACAGGGCAAGGTTGTCTTGGTTTCAGAGACACAGGGGCCCCCTTTCCCTTAACCCCAGGGAAGCAGTTTGGCGGGGAAAGAAGAGCTGTGGGGTCACATGGGAATGGATGTGAATCCTGCTTCTCCCCCTGTGAGCCGTGAATCCTGGGTGGGTGACTCAGCTTCCATCAGCCGTGGTCGCCCCCTCTACGAAATGGACTGTTATTGGGAGAGTGGAAGGTCTCTGTTCACGCACCAGGTCTGAGCTTGCAGCACAGCAAGTTGATCATAACTGTAAATTTCAGCCATGTTCACCATGAGATGCAGCCAACACTGTTTCCACGCTTGTTCAGATAGAGGTTTAAATCCCCTTAGATGCTGGTGTGTGTGCGTGCGTGTGCGCATGTGTGTATGTGCGCACGTGTGTGTGTGCATGTGCGCACGTGTGTGTGTGCATGTGTGCACGTGTGCGCGCTGCGTGTGTGTGCACGTGTCTGTGCGTGTGTGCGCGCGCGTGTGTGTGTGTGTTTAGGAAGAAGAGTTGGAAGTAGCTACTATCCAAACCCCCCAGAAAAGGATGGCAATCAGACATAATGAAAACTGGCCTCAAAATGAACTGAATTTGCAAACTTAAATTTTTCTGAATAGGGTTAAAGGTCAGCCCCTCTTTACGTTTGATAAAAGAGTCCAGCGATTTCTCTTACTAAAGTGCATTCCCCAAGCGACACTGCTAGTGAAAAAAGTATTTCGTGACATTTGAGTGGGTGTGAGAATTAGGGAAGATCAAATTAATGACTGTTTGAAATTTGTTTCTTCTCTCATTAATGAAAACAACAGTATTATGAAATCAGTTCTACTCATTAGCAGTGAGGTAGGACATCTAATAACACTCCCATCCCCCCGACCTTGACCTACAAACCCCGCTCTCACCTCTTAAAGCAGACCCTTGGCAGTGGCCTGGCGGGAGATACAGGAACCACCTTGCTGGGGCGCTCTTACCTGCGGTTTTGAACTTCAGCTAGCCTCAGTTTGAGGTGATTGAATGGCCTCCACAGTAGAAAATGGTAAAGACAACAGTGCCACATTAGCCTGATTTCCACTGAAGAAAGATGTGCCTGCCTGGGGGCCATGCTCTTACTTTCCTCATGTCCTGATGGGGGCGCCGGGGAGCAGTGACGTCTCACCTTGCCCACACCCTACCCCAGCCACCCTTCACATCTCTCATCCCCAACGCTTTGCGGAGAACGATTCTTGAGTGTCAGTGTCAAAAGGGAGAGACCTCCAAAATGGGTCATCCTGTCCAGCACCTTTGCCCAACTGGGGAGGTGAAAACCAAAGAGGAGGCGTGACTTCCACAAGGTCAGGCAGATAGTCAGCGCAGCTCTGGACTCGCCTCTGCTTCCCTTTCTGAAGCCCAAGCATCAGGAGGGCTCCGAGAGCCCAGGGCTGGAGTCCAAGGCAAAGCCACACTCACGTAGCATCTCTGGTCCTGAACATTGGAGCGTGTACGCACACACACGAAACCTTCCTTCTGTCCTTCCAGCCTCCGGCTTCTTAGCCATGTAGTTCAGTAATTTAAGAAAAAATAAAGGAAGCATCCCCAGTATTGCCACAGCCCGGGCAGTCTTGTGGAGACCTCCTTCATGGCCAGCATGGGTTAAGCATTGATGGATCGAACAGCTGTGTGGTTTTGGTGTCCTCAGTGTCTCTCTTCTTTCACAGCCCAGGGCAGGCCAGTCACCGCACCTGGTGATGCTGAGCTGAGCACTGTTTTGAGGGTAGAGCATCTTCAAACCCATCTGCAAAGCTTTGTCCTAGGAGGGATATCATTTTAGTCCATGAGCTCTGACTACATGCCAGGGCTGAGCTTTGCCCTTAGAAAGCACACTTGATCTGGGTCTGATCACCCTAATTTTCTCTGCCCCCATAGATTGCAAGACGAGTGATTGAAAGAGAAAGGAAACATACACCTATGAATGTCTTGCACAGACCAGGCACTGTCACCTCATATTTTCTCACTTAATCCTCATTTAAAAGTCCATTTTACAGATGAGGGAGCTGAGGCTCAGAGAACCAAACCAGCTTATCCTAAGTCACCCAACCACTTGCTGGGATTGGAGCCATCAGCCAAGAGGCGAACAACCCTAAGAGATGCCACTGTTCCCGTTTTCTAGATGGGGAGGTGAGCCAGGACTAGTGGGCATTCTGAATGGGGTCCAAGTACTTTCTAGGGCTTTCCATCTGGCTGCTGCTCAGGGCCCAACCACCTCCCAAGTGTCAGGCCTTTATCAGAGGACTGTGTGACCATGCCTCAAGGTCCTTAAAAGCCTGCGAATCCTTTGATCCAACAGGTCTATTTCTTGGAACTTATGCTAAGGATATAGTAAGATGAGATCCCAGAGAAGTTCACACAAGACAGCATGACGGCGAGGTTGGAGCGCAGGCTTCAGAGTTGGAAAGACTTGGCCTGGGATCCCTGCTCTACTGCTCACCGGCTTCATGCCCACCAGCATGTAACTTAACCTCTCCGATCCTCATTTCCCTGGGCATAATAACAGTGCCTCTCTCACCAGTGGGTGGTGAATAATAAAGAGTACCTGAGATTGTGAAAGTGAAACACCTGGAGAGGATCTGGTACACAGTAGGTGCTCATTAAATGTTACTCGTTACCATACAGTGATATTGTAAGAGCAAAACCAGAAACCACTTCCATATTCACCAGTGACGGGTTGGTGAAAACTTTAAAGCCATGCAATGGAATCCATGCATCAGTTTAAAATAATGTTATAGATGAGTATTTGAGTTGGAAAGATATTCACAATGTATTATTACGTGTAATAAATAGCTGCAAAATATAGGTCGGTGCTATAATCTGATTTTATTTTTTGTCTAATATACACACCAAAAAGAAGGTCAAGGTATATTCTAAAGCCGGGGTTTTCACATGTGATTCCCAGACCAGCAGCCTCAGGGTCCCAACCACCTGGGAACTTGTTAGGAATGCAGATTCCTGGGCTTCACCCCAGACCGCCTGAATCAGAAACTCTGGGGGTGGGACCTGGAAATCTTACTTTAACCAGCTCACCAGAGAATTTCCTACATGTTCAAATTTGAGAATCATGGGCTGATGCAAAGGGTTAATAGTGATTGTCTGAGGGTATTGAGAAATGGTAGGTGATTTTTACTTTATTTTCTAAACTTTTTAAAACAGTAAACACGTATTACGTAATCTGGAAAAAAGAACACGCAAAAGATGGTTTTAAAATAAAACCGTATTCCAGGTTTTTCTATTGGATATAGCAGTACTGTGTGTAAGTTAAAAACACTCAGATATAAGCACATTTTCCAGGGCTGCTCCTCTGTGAGTTGATATTTCCCCCGACTCTTCTGCAGGTGACTATTATTGGATACACCCTTGGAATCCCTGATGTCATCATGGGCATTACTTTCCTTGCAGCAGGCACAAGCGTTCCAGACTGCATGGCCAGCTTGATTGTGACGAGACAAGGTATGGATCACGCCTCAGCCCTGACGGCAGTCAGCATCACCATGCGGGCCCCTACCCCCAGCCCGAGTTACAGTTCGTGGCTCTCATGACTTGGCAGTCGTTACATCCTGCTATGAAGGAAACTGTGACAACAGGGAAGCATCATGTATTAGATTCCATCCATGGAGAGAGTACTACCAAGATCAACTCCTCCAGACCTCTAGAAGCATTTGTGTGGAGTTGTATAAAAATGGACTTGTTCTGGGAGTTCCCTGGTGGCCTAGTGGTTAGGGTTCCAGGCTTTCACTGCTGGAACTGAGACCCCATGAGCTGCGCCACGTGGCCAAAGAAAGAAAAAAAAAAGGATGAACTTGTTCCGGCATCACCAATGTGAGATTGAGCAGAGCTGGAGCCCAGACTTTTTTTTTTTTTTTTTTTTTTTTGCAGTACGCTGGCCTCTCACTGTTATGGTCTCTCCCGTTGCGGAGCACAGGCTCCGGACGTGCAGGCTCAGCGGCCATGGCTCATGGGCCGGACTCTCAACCACTGCGCCACCAGGGAAGCCCGAGCCCAGACTTTTTATAGCAAATGCAATAGTAATGAGAAATGTTCTGATCCTGGGAAAGCCAAGCAGGGGTATCCTGTATCTCCAACTATTTTCCAATTTTCCTTCAGAATTCTAGACCTTATGTAACGTTATGGTTTGCTTGGCGGTTTTTCTTTGGAGCTAAGTGCCATGGGGTAAGCAAGGTGAGGAATACCGGTATGCTCTTTGATGGCAGAACAAAAGAGCTGTAAAGAGCCAGCCTTCCTTTACCACTCCCTTTCTACCCGTGAGATAGCGTCCAAGCCCGGACCGCCACAGATCGTCCTCTGTAGATGGAAATTTGAAAGTATGGGGGGCAGGATGGGCGAATAATGGAGTGGAATCTCAGAGGAGACAGGAGAGGAGAGCAGTGTCCGGAGAGAAACTTGGTTTGGAAAGAAGGAAAACGTTTTATTTCTTCGAGATAAAAGAAAGGGTTGATTAGTTGGTCAGTCAGTCCTGAGAAAACACGAATTGAGGGGAAGGGAAGGGTGGGGGTATGTGTGGCAGTAGGCTGGAGCCCTTGTGGAGAATGGGGACAGTTGGGGACAGCAGCTGAAGGGTTTGGAATTGAATTGAGTGACCTTTGAGGTGAGTGTATTCATTTCCCAGGGCTGTCATAACAAAAGTACCCCAACTGGGTGGCTTAAAACAACAGAAATGGATTCTCTCACAGTTCTGGAGCATAGAAGTCCAAAATCAAGATGGCGGCAGGACCATACTCTCTCTGAAGGTTCTAGGGAGGATCCTTCCTTGTTCTCTCCCAGCTTTGGGTGGTTGCCAGGAATCCTTGGCTTGTGGCTGCATCCGTCCAGTCTCTGCCTGTGTCTTCCTGTGGTATAATTCCCTCTGTGTGTGTTTGTCCAAACTTCCTGCTTCTTATAAGGACACCAGTCATTGGATTAGGTCCCACCCTAGTTTATTATGACCTCATTTTAACTGGATCACATCTGCAAAGACTTTATTTGCAAATAAGGTCCCATTCACAGGTTTCGGGTGGACACGAGGGCTGGGCACTATTCAACCCAGTACAATGAGTAAAAGGAAAGCCGATGAGTGCCTAGGGCCTGGCCGATGTTCAGTGACGTGAATTTGGGAGGGATTCCGGCATGAATTTGAAGTCATACCAGCTCCAAGAGCACACGGATGAGAGATCACAAGTTCATCCAGAGCTGGGGTTGGCTGGGTGGACACAATGGAAGGTCGAGGAGGCAAAAGAATGTCCCATGTAAACAGCTGGCCTTGGAGTCCAAGCTAGTGGGTTGGGGGTGGGGGTCATGATACTAGAAGATTCAGGGCTTGGAGGGGAGGGTCCCAATGAGGTCAACGGGGCTCTGTAGGAACAAGGACAGGTGGGGACATCATCTCAGAGTGGCTCCTGTGAGATGCAGAACGCAGAAACAGGAGGGGTGAGGCGGGGGCGGGAGTGTATAGTTGTCGTGAGGGTGATGCTGACGTGATTGGAAGAGGGTCCAGCAGACCAGGTTAAAGCCTGGACAGATTCTTTATGGCAGGGGATACAGAAACCTCTGTTCGGAGTCCATCACACAAGGCAGGAGCCGTGCGGTGAGCTCTAACACAGAGGCTCTGCATCCTGGGCTCCCTGAAGGCTCGCAGCCCAGAGTGTGGTCCAGGCCGGCAGCATCAGCTTGAGAGAAATGCAGACTCTCAGGCCCCGTCCCAGCCCCACTGAATCAGAGTATGCTTTTTTTTAACTAATTTTTATAACTTTATTTCTTTTTATTTTAATTTATTTATTTTAATTTTGGCTGCGTTGGGTCCTCATTGCTGCGCACGGGCTTTCTTTTAGTTGCAGCGAGGGGGGCTACTCTTCGGTGCGGTGCATGGGCTTCTCATTGCGATGGCTTCTCTTTTTGCGGAGCACGGGCTCTAGGCGCGCGGGCTTCAGTAGTTGTGGCTTGTGGGGTCTAGAGTGCAGCTCGTGGGCTCTAGTTGTGGCACACGGGCTTAGTTGCTCTGCGGCATGTGGGATCTTCCCGGCCCAGGGCTCGAACCCGTGTCCCCTGCATTGGCAGGAGGATTCTTAACCACTGTGCCGCCAGGGAAGCCCCCAGAGTCTGCTTTTTAGCAAGACCCCCAGTGAGTCGTGTGCTCTTAAAGTTTGAGAAGTGCTGCCGTAAGATTCCTCAGAGGGCAGTGCCTGCGCTGAGCAGTCAGTCTAACCTGAGACGCTCTCCTCTCTCTTCTCCCAAACCTGGGCATCCTTGTGCCTCCTGACCCATCCCGCGAGTGCCTGCCTCCTCACCAGGGGCAACTAGCTGGTCCAAAACAGCTGCTGCTCATTCCTGTTTCACAAAATCCTGGGAGACTGGAAGGCAGGTTTCCCAGAGGTACTGCCCCCTGATAGGACTCAGCTGCTGAGGTTTTGAAGGCACTCAGATCAGTGCCCAGACAGGCAGGGAGGGAGCTGTGAGGCCGTTGAGGGAGGCATTGTGTCCTGGAGGTCAGCGGATGACAGCAACAGGGCGGGAGGAAGTGGCCTGGCTATACTAGGGGGCCAGGAGGTCAGATGGAGGTGAGGCAGTCGTCCGGATGCTCTTCTGAGTCTCTGCGAGCTTCTCAGCGACCGAGGCAACTTTATGGGCACAGGCCTGTGTGTTTCAGGCTTGTTCATTGCATGGACGTTTGTTTGTGGCCAGATTATGACAGTCGTGTCCATTTAGGGCTAAGGGGCCAGGTGAAAACAGGTTCAGCCCGTGTGAGTCTTATTTGTAAAAGTTTGTTTACTAACTTCTGATACCTCTCAAATTATTAAGTTCCTAAGTCTGTGTGGCTTTCATGAGACTGGACAGTGGGGCAGGAGAGGGAAGGTGGGGATACAGTCCCTCACCTCTAAGATGCTTCTAGTCTGGTTGGGGGGAAAGAGTTCACTCTTGGGAGACCACCCAGGCATAAAACCTGATGCCCTGTCGTCTGGGTCAAGGTCGTGGTGCCACCACCTGGGTCACAAGTATGCATTGAGGATGAGGCCCCTTCCCTCCCAGAGCACCTGGGAGGCTCAAATAAGAAGCACATAGTGGGTCCTCCCAAAACACCGGCTGACACCCCTGGCAGGAGGAATAATGAAGGGCTCTGGATTAGTTTCCTAGGTCAGCCGTAACTACCACAAACTGGGAGACAGGAAAACAGAAACTGACTGTCCCACAGTCTTAGAGGTCAGAAGTCCGAGATCAGGGTGTCAGAAGAGTTGGTTCTTTCTGTCTGTTCAGGCCTCTCTCCTTGGCTTGCGGATGGCTGTCTTCATGTTCAGATGGAGCGCTGCCTGTGTGCATGCCTGTGCCCTAACGTCCCCTCTCAATGAAGACACCAGTCATATTGGATGAGGATCCACCCTAAGGACCTCATTTTAACTTGATTACCCCGGAAAGACCCTGTCTCCAGATAAGGTCACATTCTGAGGTATTGGGGGTTAGGACCCCAACATATGAATCTTGGGGGGTCACAATTCAACCCACTACAGGGCTCACATGTAAGACTTCATGAAGGGAGTGGATCTCAGTCCTCATTAAAAGGTTTTAGAAATGTGGGGTCCATGAGGAAGGAATTCCTTTCTAAGGAATAGCACTGATGGAAATGGGAAGGAACAGGGGTTTCCAGCGACCTGCGCTTAATGCATGACATGTCGATTGTCCCCTGCAGGCCTTGGTGACATGGCGGTCTCTAACACCATAGGAAGCAACGTGTTTGACATCCTCGTGGGACTCGGCGTACCGTGGGGGCTGCAGACCATGGTTATTAATTATGGATCCACGGTAAGTTCGTCTCGCTTCCTTAGTGAGATGACGCCACGCGCTTTACAGGGAGTGATAGTGGTGTCGGCCCTGTGCCAGCCAAGGGCTGCAGGGGATGCACTGCCCCCTTCTCCTTGGCACGCTGGCAGCCACTTTGTGCAAAGGCGTCCCGAGCAGCCTGGGCAGTGCCTGCAAGAGGCAGCCTGTGTGTGCCCTGCACTCACGGGTGCTTCGGCCCCGTGTCTCTGCCCGCCGGCACGCCTCTCCCCTCCTAGTTCATTTCCTCAGATGAGCAGAGACCTGGATCCATGGCCACGTGCTCACCGTGAACACCCACCTGTGGCTTCCAGATAAGGGAGGGGATGAGCCCGAGCACACTGGGCTTCCAGAACGGATGGGGGCCTGAACAGCCCAGAGGTTCAGGGCACGTGTGTTTGTTTTTCCAGGTGAAGATCAACAGCCGGGGTCTGGTCTACTCCGTGGTGTTGCTGCTGGGCTCCGTCGCTCTCACCGTGAGTTTTTGCAATTCCAGAATAGAAGCCTCACACGTACATCGTTTCCTCTGATTGTGCACAGTCTCTGAATCCCCTCCCCCTTCCCCTTGGCAGTGAGGGGTAAAGCAGTAAAAACATAGAAATTCACAGATACCCCCAGAAACACTTTCTGCCAAGAATGTTGGCACCAAACACTGCACTTTTCCCTGAGCCACTAAGAAGTCCCTAGAGGAAGTGAGTTACGTTTCCTCTCTTCTTGCTGCCCGGTCTGTCTCCTCTCACTAGTGCCAACAGGAGACAAGTCCTCCCTCAGCCCATCTGAGCTGACAGGGGGACCTGATGGTCAGGTCTCAGGGCTGGCACACCGTGATACTGAGGTCTCCTCACTCCACAGGCCCCAAACTGTGCTAACTCTACCTCTGCTTACTTTATTCCATCCTTACAAGCACCTGGTGATATTCTACTCTGCAGAAGTAAGCAAGGCTCAGGGGTTAAGTAACTTGCCCAAGGTCACAGGGATAGGAAATGACCAAGCTGGGATTTGAACCCACACTGGTCTGTCTCTAAGGACCCATGGCATTGCTCTGATGAGGTAACTCTGATCCAACCCTTAGGAGGCCTCAATTCAGGGATAAGAACAAAGACTGTAAAAGGATAGGTGGGCAAGTCTGGAAAGAACATAGAAAGAGGATGTGCTCCAACCCCGTCTCTCTCACACACACACACGTGGTCCAGGCAGAAGTTTGCCAGACGTGGGCCAGCGGGAGCCTTGGAAGTTTTGCTGAAGAAGGCTGAGGATGCCAAGTTCTGAAGCAAAGGGAAGACCCAGTGAAAGTCCCTGGTTGTCACTAAAGAAGGCCCGGGAGGGATCCCCAGGAAGTGGTGCACGTGCCCCGGCAGAGCTGGTGCCCTGAGGCCAGCTGCTGTGTGTGCCTGGAGTCTGCACCCTTTCATTAGACAAGCATAAAGCCTGCAGGGCTCATTCTGATCAAACCAAGGATCTACCGGCAGCACCCCTCCGCTCTTGCCCACCTTTTGCAGAAAGTTCTGGGGTTCATCGTCCGTGTGTAGTTTTCCAATAAAAGTACCTTTTGTAGTATTTCTCTGCCCCCAAGCCCAACACTCACACCCTCTCCTTCCAGGTCCTCGGCATCCATCTGAACAAATGGAGGCTGGACCGGAAGCTGGGGATCTACGTGCTGGTTCTCTACGCCATCTTCTTGTGCTTCTCCATAATGATAGAGTTTAACGTCTTTACCTTTGTCAACTTGCCGATGTGCCGAGAAGACGATTAAAACGTAGCCACTGCCCCCCCACCCGGGAGCTCTTCTGGACGCTCTGGCGCTGGCGTCCTCCTTCTCCTCCCCTCCCCCACCACGAGTCTCTCCTGCATCGGCAGCCACCGCCTGCTCTTTCATGCACAGGAAGGAAGAGCCATCGTGGTCTTTGTGTGGTCACGGGCCAGGCTGCTGGGCCTCCTCCGCCTGGGAGTTCTGCCCCCCAAAAGGCAAGATTCAGGGGCCGCTGTTTGAGCAGCTTCACAGCCCCCTGAGCCACCAGCCATAGGGACGTGGCATGTGTCTCCTCTTTTGGACACTTGGATCACGAGGACTTCTGTGTGCTGGTTGTCCTTCTGTCGCACTGCGGCCTTGGAAATGAGGCGGGCGGTGAACACAGGGTCTCCTGTGGCAATGCAGAATAGGAGTGTTGTTCTCAAGGGTCCCCTCTGGGCCAGAGAGTGTGGGCTCCTTGGGCAGCGTGTGCTACTAAGAGCCTCTGAATCCTGCCGGAGGCACTTACGGTTTGTTGGGAGTTTGGGGCTGTGACGGCAAGCACTCCAACCCTTTTTCTGAAAAAATTGCAAGAATGGAAACAGTTGTTCACAGCAGAAGAGAGAAAACGAGTGAATATTCTTATCACTTTCATTGATGCATTCAGAGAACGAGCAATGAAACATTAAAAATAAAATGTTAGCTATACATCTTCATACTTGAAAAATATCATTCCGTACAAAGAACCTTGATGGGGACCAAAAAGGTAATGCTTATGGAAAACAAATCCTATGTATATCGTGTTGCACTGACACTAAGATGTTTGGTTTGGAACATAGAAAAGAGCGGAAGACTAACATCTAAACGGGTGCTAACTCAGAGACACGGTGGAGATGGTAGTTTACAGCCATTCATTCCAGACTTCCTGTGGCATGGGACGCACTGTCAGTTTGGGTTTGTCATTCCTTGTTAATGCTCTGCTCTCAAAACCACCCTGTTCAAAGGCCCAATTGTTTATATGCCCAACAAATTTCATAGCCTGCTGAACTGGAATGCGTGTGCCGGAAGTAATGGTTACTGACAAGAAGAGAGATTTCCTGAAAAACCACCAGTTGCTCTCTGCTGAGCTGGAGGCGAGTATGAAAACCGTAACTTGGAATTTTTTAGAGCTAAGGTTGTTGAACCTTATAGTTTGCTCCACAGGAAAGGCCAAAGATGGGAGGTTGATTCAAAAATAGATAGAAACATATTAAACAATTTTGACTGCTTCATAGCTCTCAAATATATATTAAAAAGATTTACGAACACAAACCATTCCTGGTTTCTAAAAAGAAAGCACAATTCATTTTATATAGAGGTGTTCTTTTTTTATTTTTTTAACGTTTCTATTGCAAAAGGCTATCAGATTTGATGCACTTTTAATATTGGGCTGTTTTGCACAGAGGACTGTATGGGAATGCCCCATGATGCTGTGAGGAAAAGAGGCTTTTCGTGATTCACCAGTAATCAGTCATGGGTGATGAGTGTAAATCCAACAGCTTATTCTTTCCTCAGACACAGAGGTTGTGACCCGCAGTGGAATTTGTGGCTGTGCTCTTTGGGGCCTCCTGAATTTCAGAAGGAGGACGGGTTCAAGCTTACGTCCCTAAAATTCCCTTAGCGCGGGCCTAAGACATGACAACTCCATCACCAGGCTTCTCTTCTGCATCCTCATCAGTGTTAAGACTTCTCTTTTCGTTTCTCTACTTAGATACTCAGTGGTCTTCTGGTTGAGGAGAGCGATTTTCCTAAGAAATTAGCTAAGTGGGAGGCCAGGGAGCCCGTTGGTTCATCAGTATAAATGTCTAGATGCAGAGGGTTTCAGAGCCCTCAGGACCGCTCTGTGCCCTCATAAAATAGCAGCCTGGTCATCTCCATCTTCTCCATCTAACAGACTCATCCAGGTTTCAAACTGTGTCTGTCTCTGTTTGGCGTCTCAAAACTGCCCTGTGACGTAAGTAGGGATTACTGTCCCCGTTTAACAGGAAATGTAGTCTTGGAGAGGTCAGGTGACTCTAGGTCAATGGCTAGTAAGTAGCAGAACAGGGACCAAGCTCCAGACCGCCACCTGGCTGAGCCAGTCCAGTGTGTGGCCATCCTTGGTGGGGCAAGTGTGCCTATGTCCTTGTCCTTGGGGTCGGTTGCTCCTTATTGTTTGGGTCAAAACTTCTTCAAGTTTCTAATTGACATCTGGGTGCTCCAGCTCACATCCTAATATTTATCTCCAACCTGTGTCCCTATTATTTTCCAATAAAGACAAAAAAATATTTTTAGCCACAACAAGGCACAGGCTACACGGTCCCTGATGACATCCTGCTGGTGTTCAATTCTTTGAATCCTCGTGTAGCTTTCAGAGAACACATCCTAATCACCCACCTCTTCCTCAGCAGAACCCATTTGAGATTATAAATATGCTGCAGTTGCAGTTTGAGACAAAAAATAGTGTTTCTAGCGTGTAGAGCAGTCCTCCTGGCTAATTCTCTTATGACGTTAATGTGCCAATGTAACTTCCTTAAAGGATCTATATATTTATTGTATCTAGGAAACTATATATACACTGTAGGTGCAGAATTCTCTTTTTTAACTAGATATTTTTCCATCTCAAGTTTAAAGAGTTGCTTGATTAATTAGGCCTTCATTTTAAAATACTGCTTTCATCACTGCACAGGATTACTTCCTTTATTTTATCCGAAGCTAGTTAGCAGAAGGTAAAGTTACTCTGCTACAAAAATAGGCAATCTGAAAAATAAACTTAGCTCTTCGAATTGGGGGCAGAAAATGAACCACTGCCCTCAGATAGAAAACGTCTATAAAAGCAGGAGCTGGTGGTTCCTGTCCATTTCTGGTTTGGAATTTACCTTCGCCAGCCCAAGCATAGTCAGGGGGGAAGGGGTGCAGTGTCTTGAGAACGCAGCCCTGGAGGAAGGTTCTGGGTCGGCTGCAGTGAGAGACTACTGTTAAGGGCAGGTCAGGGGCATCCCACCCCCATCCTTCCTGTAACCCACAGCTGCTGGCCTCTGTGTTTGTCTTCCGCGTGCACCGGTCTTGTGAGTTTTCACCTGTTCATTACCTGCTCCCCCACCCCTCGTGCCGCCTATTAAGGCTGTTTCTTGCTTCTCCTCGTCAATCTTCTGCCTTTACAGACCCAAGCAGCTGAAAAGGCATAACCCCCGGGGAGCCAGCTGAAACCAGATGGGCGTGCCCACCACTCCAGGGCAGCCCTGCAGACCCCGACCAAAGACCCCTTCTGGGCTGCCCAGGGTCTAGGTCCCAAGGGAAGAAACTGCCCCCTCTTCCCTTTTGACGAGGATTTGCAAGGCAAGTAGCATCAGCAGGAGACCAGCCCTCAGGGAACACCAGACTCCACAAACAGGCTGGGAATCCAGGAAGGGTGTGGGCAGCCTCTTTGGCTGACACCCTTCTTTCCTCCGGGCATTTCCCCTCCCTGAGCCCTAGGGCCCCTCCCTCTCCTTAAGGTGGGTGTGGACAGAATCGAGAGGGACTGGGAGAGGGTCACTTCCTTGCCTTCTTCCCCAGGTGTGAAATGGGCTAGCGGGGTCAAGGTCTGGAGCAGGGCAGGAGAGAAGCAGAGAGCCTCCAGCTCGGGCTGGCCCCTGTGAGCTCGTGGCCCTCCCGTCCGCCCTGATGCTGAGTGGGCCCTTAGGCCTGGGGTTGGCCTCTCACACGCCACCCTTTCCTTCTCTGGTAAGCCCTGTTCCTCCCCTGGCAGGGAAAAGATGGTTGTACAGGTATGTGACAGGCTCTCAGCAGATGCTTGTTGCTTGAATAAACAAAGAACTTGCCTGTTAGGGTGAAAATCTTCAGGAGGTGGTTCCCGAGTCCTGTGATTTAAATATTCCCAGGTCCCTCTAATGCCCTCTGGACATCATTTCTGTGTGAGTCTTGGGGCGGTTAGCAGATGCGCCCAGGGCCCCTGAGATGGGCCACAGCTCAGCAACTTCGTCACCACGTGGTGCTCAGTGAAACTTCCAGAAATTTTTGAAAACGCTCTCTGGGCAGCTCTTGGGTGGCAGGAAGTCCATCATCCCCCATCCATCCCTGGACCCAATGTGGTGCCCCTGGCCCCTGCCCTTTCTATGTGGATTCACCCAGAGCATCCGGGCACCCCGCCAGCTGTTAGCCCTTACTCTCTGCAGCTGGTCACATGAGCCCTTCAAGTGCGAAGATGCTCACAGGGCCTTCTGGAAGCATACAGAAGGGGCCCCTCCAGCACTGGGTCAGTCTCCCCCACTGTGTCTGTCATGGGGGTGATAGAACAGGAGGGTCTTTGTACGGGCCCATCCTACAAGGCAAGACACAGGTGGGACGCAGATTTCGTTACCTGGCTCGTGTAGGGCCCCTTTGCCTTGCTGCAGAGACCTGTTCCCCCAAGGGCAGTCCACAACAGTATTTTTGGCCGTGTTGGGTCTTCGTTGCGGTGTGCAGGCTTCTCATTGTGGTGGCTTCTCTTGTTGCAGAGCACAGGCTCAGACGCGTGGGCTTCAGTAGTCGTGGCTCATGGGCTCAGTATTTGTGGCTCGCGGGCTTAGTCGCTCCACGGCATGTGGGATCTTCCTGGACCAGGGATCGAACCCATACCCCCTGCATTGGCAGGTGGATTCTTAACCACTGCGCCACCAGGGAAGTCCCGTAACGGTACAGATTTTTAAAAGGCTGTTGCATTTGCTTCTTAATAGGGAATACTAAATTGGGACACTAGCTTAGTATGTGCTTAACTTCAAACCTCTTAGCCAATGGGGTCAGTATTCAAAGTCACACGCTACCCAATCTCAAGGAAATCGTACCTGCATGAAATGGGGAGAAGGAGTGCTTTTCTCCCATCCTGCCACCCAGAAGGAGCTATGTTTTCCATCACAACAGGGAAGCCAGCTGGATTGTATTAGAGCTTTGATTATTTTATGGGGATTTTTAAAAGTTCTCACTTTTCAATGACAAATGGCTCCCCAGTTCCCTTGGTCTCTGCTAAATCCTCACACACTGCTGGGGGCCAGGGGCGTGCTTGGTGTCATCTTTTACCTGCGTGCTTCTAAGGCTTTCCATCACCTCTTATGGTGCCAGTGTCTGGTCATCAAGGTGGCGTGTCCTCCGCACACTTCGTAGCAGGGGTTGAGAACATATCCTCTTCTAGTCTGGGAAAACATCTGCTTCCTGAACACCCTGATACAGAACCAGGGCCATGGGAGGTGGCTCTGACAGTTAGAAATGCCCACTGTACCCATGTGAAAGTCACGTCCTTGCTTGTGTGGTTTTTCCATCGTTAGATTTATGGGCCTGGGATGGGCTGCTTCTTGGTTAAAAGCCCTATGACACACACGGGCATATCCACACCTATTCCCACAGTTGCCAGAATTCAGACAGTTGCTTTTTATGCAACACGTTGGTTGGGACTTATCCACAGTAGAAGCCAATAAAGCCCTTAATCCTGGAGAAAGTATGTCCCCTCGCCGCCCCACCACTGGAAAACATGCTTTTTAAACTATCGAGAAAAAGTCTGTACAGCTTTTGGTTTCTAGTCGCCTGGTTTGGTCTGATCGGCCTTTGTGCATAAAGGAGGATCCCAGACAATGGAACTGTCCCTGCTCCCACCTCCAGAAGTTCCCAGATACTTGGGAGTATCCGGATGGACACGAAGTCCCCATTCAACGCAAGGAGCGAGGCCTTTGCTCCCACTGAAAATGGCTGGGAGGTGAGCCAGGCAGCTCTGTTTTTCCAAATCAAATGTTCTGGAGGGTTTTTTCTGGCCTCACCTCCAGAGGTGCCCTTCTGAGCACTTTCTCCATGTGACTGGACCTAGGCTGTTTGGGGGCCCAGTGGCCAGAGCTGTGGCTGAGCCTCTGTGGCCAGCTCTGGGGGAGCCTCGTAGGGGGTCTGCTGGCCTGGGAGACTGGGTGTCTAATTCAGAGCACACGCTCCCTGGTAGAGCGCCCTCTGTATACGTCTCCTGTCCAGCTGCTGCCAGTTGCTAGGTGTCTAAATGCTAAGCGAGCCTTGATTACCTAGAGAGGAAAGAGCGCTGCCAGCCGGATGGGGCCAGGCGCACGTGCAGACGCAGGAGCTGCCGAGCGAAGGGCAGGGGAGGCCTGGCACAGCCCAGGTGCCCAAGAGGCAGACTGGGCACTGTTTCCACAGGGCCATGGGATCTTCCTGGGACCCAGCAAATAGCAGGTAAATAGAACCAGAGGGCTTTCGTGCCCAGAAAGAACCCCCTTAGGAACAACCAAAACCAAAAACTTCTGAGGCTGTGACACATCACTTGAGTCCCCATGAGACAATGCCGGGATGCTAGGCTGAACGCTGCCGTCTTTGTTCATCTTCTCTAACAGGTGAAGCGGGAGCAGTGAGTTGAAAAGTTGTACATAATAAATATATTTATCCTGCTATTTATTTTTTCAATAACTGTGACCTCCTGCACTGTGAATGCTCTGTGATATGAGATCCTTAGTTTAATAAAACTGTCATTAAATTTGAATGAATTGATATTATTGGTTACTAAACACTGGCATGAGTTTATTCTTATTGTGAAGAAAAATCTAGACTAAATATTGAACTAAATCTTTATAAGAAACCTAAAAGTCAGTATTGTAATGCAATATATGAAAATCTGTACACTGTCAAAAAAATAAACGAATACAAGTTGTCTTTCCCTATAGAGAGCTTCCATTCATGTTTTAATAGACACATACATATTTGTAGTTTTGGAAAGGATTCTTTACACTGGAATAACAGCCATTCATTGAAACCATTTCTATTTGCATATTGAGAAAAAAATAAACTTCAAAAAGGATGAGGGTTGGCGCCTTTTAATTATAATGATTGGTAATGAATCAAACAAAGCAGAAAACTCATAACTTACCTTGGCTAAGCACGAATGAATCCAGAATGACCCAGCCTTCTCTTGCCTCACCAGCAAGGCCAGCTTTATGGGCTGGGGACACGTGAGGTCAGTCACAGAGGGCCTCACACTCAGAAAGACCCCAGGCTCAGTTGTCACCATCTTGAAATCTTTCATTTTTTTAAAAAAGGGGCCCCACAGTTTCTTGTTTTTAAAGTGAAGTCTAGTTGCTGTACAATATTATATGTTACAGGTGTACAATATAGTCATTCACAATTGTTAAAGGTTCTACTCCATGTACAGTTATTATAAAATATTGGCTATATTCCCTGCGTTGTCCAGTATATCCCTGTAGCCCACATTTTCATTTTTGCCCTGGGCCCTACAAATTATGAATCTCGTCCTGCTCGTCAAGAATAAGGTTATGCTATACCTAACAGACAAGAAGTTGGTATCCTAAGGCAAAGAACTCTTGCAAACTAATAAGAAAATGGCAAAAACCCTTCAAAAGAAAAATTATAAAGGGAAAAAAAAGGTAATTCCCAAAAGAAGAAGTATAAATGGCTAATTAACAGAGGAAATTCAATCTCACTGACCACAGCAGGGAATACATATTAAATACAGTAAAATATGCAGGGACATATTCAGGTTTATAAAGCCTGAAACAAAGAATTTGGGAGCTGGGTCCTCAGAACTATGAATGCAAAAGTGAGTGTGAATGTGAATGTTTTTTAGAATGAGAAAAGGAACCACAATAAATTACAAAGTTTTTAAAGCTGAAAGTCTCACAAATGTCGCTAAAGCCAGTAAAAATACCATAGCATATTTGTTAACTGTGTTAACACTCCTTTATAATATTTTTTCTACATTTTCCGACTGTATGTTTTTTCATCATTCTTTCATTTGACAGTGATTTTGTGTTACCATTTCCTATGCAGAGGATAGAAATATAATTCAGTATTTATCCTAGTGCGGTTGACTGAAATGTTTCTTATTTCCAGTTGGAATTAATAAAATATATAACTTCACACAGCTTTACTTGCTAAAAAAAATAATAATAATAAGGTTATGCCATCGGCTCTTGTGTCGTGAGAAATTGAGATGAGGGGGAGAGGTACTGGTTAATTCCTTCATTCTAAACGTTTCCTGTGTCCCAGCTGCCTCAGGGCCACCATAAACTAACATACACGTAAATCACCTGGGCATCTTGTTAAAAAGCAGATTCTGGGGCTTCCCTGGTGGCACAGTGGTTGAGGGTCCGCCTGCCGATGCAGGGTACATGGGTTCGTGCCCCGGTCCGGGAAGACCCCACATGCCGCGGAGCGGCTGGGCCCGTGAGCCATGGCCGCTGAGCCTGCGCGGCCGGAGCCTGTGCTCCGCAACGGGAGAGACCACAACAGTGAGAGGCCCGCGTACTGAGAGAAAAAAAAAGCAGATTCTGGTTTAGCAGAATGGGATAGGGCCAAAGATGCTACGTTTCTAGCAAGTTCCCAGGTTTGCCAATGCAGCTGGTCCACTTTGAATACTGAGAAGGTGGATCAGTCCCACTCAGAGTGTGATGTGGGCACCTGTGCAGCCTCACAGACTGTTCTCCATCTGCCACAAGACAAGTATAGAAACTGAGAGAGAATATAAACATTTATGGCAATATGATGACTAATTTTATGTCTGAACATGTTTTTTTCATTGCATTTTTCTAGTAACTTTTTGTTGTACTTATAAAAACACCTGTCCACAAAGAAAATATTAAAAAAAAATCTTTCCCACAGGTTCTACTTTAGATGAGAAGTTGTACTTTACATGAAAGTTTAGATGGTTTTAGCTCTTTCCTGTTTAAAAGTCAATCTACAATGTATGAAGGACTTTGATTTCCAGCTCAATTAGCCTTGTGGGTCCTGCAGCCTCATGTTCTTTGTTCTCACTATCTCATTGTCCCTCAATCCATCTGGTGCTGCATGGCTTGATGAACCAGTGGGACACAGGACAGAAACAGAAAATGTCCCCATTTCACAGATGGGGAAGATGAGGTTCTGAAAGCATACCTGCTGTGTGCAGGGTCTTTCATCCACTCACCATGAGAGCCAGCCTTAACAGCCATGCCTCCTCCTATTGCCTGGGGCTGCCCAGACCAGACAAGGGAAGGGGTGGTTGGCTGAATCTGTCCTCCCCTGGGAGCTCATCTCCTAGTTGATTTCACAACTCAGGCTCTATCAGCTTGTTTTTGATGTTTTCTAAAACTTGCTCCAGGCAATTCCAAGTTCAACATGGTCCTGGTGCAGGCAGTCTGATGGTACAGTGGTACGAGAAGCAGGCCTTCTCCTGGGCGTCTGTCGCCCACCTTCGCTATAGCTATATTCCAATTTTTTAAAGTGGGCAAATGTTCAGAGCAGTTATTCTCCTTTCCTCCATCAACAGGTAGATGGAGGAAAGGAGAATAACTTATAAAAATGCTGAGATTATCAATATGGGGGAAGAGAATCTTAAATATTCAACTCCAGGCAATGATATGCAGGCTCAAGAGCTTAGGGGTGATGTTTGCAACTTACTCGGAAATGCATTGAAAACATAAGATGGCTGGGTGGGAAATGGGGAGATGTGTGACAAAGCAAGTTTAGTAGCGTTAGTGGCAAAATGTCGATGGTGGGTATATGGATA